CTGCGAGAGGGGGGGGATTACAGCTCTGCCACACCCAGGGTCGCACCCTGACACACCCAGGACCCCCCCAAACCCCCCCACGGTGCCTTTAATCCATCCATGCAACGAACGGCGCTGGCGGTGCTTCCATCCATCCATCCGTATGTCTGTCCAGTGGTGGTGATTGGGGGGGGGGTTCCGGGTGCTACACCCCCTCTGCGGTCCCTTCATCCCCATGGGGGGGGCGGTGGTCGTGTGCCGGGGGGGCTGCCAGGCTCTCAGCCTGCAGCAGCAGATTGCAGCCCAGGAAGAAGAGCCCGAAAGCCACGGCGACGCAGAGGACGAAGACGACGACGATTTGGGTTGCTTTGGCCAACAGTGTGTCCCAATGGGCGCCGGGCGGGGGCAGGGTGCTGTTCATCCCCTCCTCTTCTTCCTCTTCCTCCTCTTCTTCTTCCTCTTCCTCCTCTTCTTCCTCCTCCCGGCTGAGCAGTGCGGGTCAGCAGCAGGCAGGGAGGGTTTAAGTGATGTCAGGGAGCAGCCACGTGGCCCCCACATGGCTGTGCTGAGCTGCAGCACCCCCCCAATGGGGTGTGGTGGTCCCAGGGGGGGGGGACAGGCGGCTCTGCCCCCCCCGCGGGGGGGGGCTCATGGCAGGTCCCCATCCTCTCTCCTGGGTGTGATTTTGGGGGCTGGAGGGGGGGGATTTGCTATGGGGTACAGCTGAGGTTGGGATGTGATCCCACTCCTCCTGCCCTTGTGGGAGGGCAGCAAAGAGCTCGGCTTGGGGGGCTGAACACAGCCTGGGGGGGTCAGTACAGCTTGGGGGGCTGAACACAGCTGGGGGGGGGTCAGTACAGCTTGGGGGGCTGTACACAGCTGGGGAGCTCAGCCCCTGTCCCATAGGGCCACTGCCCCATCCCTGCCTCCCATATGGCATAGGGAAACCCCCCCAGGCTCCCTTATTCATCCCCCCTCCCACCTCACAGATGTTGGGACGTGATGGGAAAAGGGAAATAATTTATTTCTGCCCCAGAGGAAGGCAGGGTGTGGGGCAGCCACTCACCCACCTTCGGGGCTGCCGAGCCAGTTCCTCGGATCAGGTGAGCACCACGGGAGCAGCACCCCACAATTATTGGGGCAGGCCCAGCCCAGCTCCTCACAGAAGCTCCCAGAAGCAGAGAGGAGGGACAGAGGATCCCAAAAACGCTCCACAAAAGGTGGGAAGCACCTCCAGGGGGACGCACCCCACATCCAGGGGTCCTACAGAGCCAGCGTGTCCTTGATGAGGCGCCGCATGGTGGTGGTGACGGAGGTGCCCAGCGTGTCGGTGATCTGGTAGGAGATCTTGTACAGGTAGGGCTGCACGTCCTTCAGGCTGGTGTCGAAGACGTTGTCCACCTCGGACTGCGTGGGCATTTTGGGCAGGTATTCGTGGCGGTTCATCACCTCCACGATGTTGATGATCTTCTCGCACAGCTTCTCGCCCACCTTCTCGCGGCAGATCTGCCTCTCCTGCTCGTTGGCCAGGTTCACCACGTTCACTTTGATGGTCCACAGCTCCCAGGGGATGCACTCATCCGAGAAGGGCCAACGGGATTTCTTCTTCTGGTAGAACTCCAAGGAGATCTGCCCCATCCCGTCGCTGCCTGAGCTGCGCAGCGCGTCCTGCGGGCGGCACCGGGGTGCTGTGGGTTGGGAAGGACCCCAAAGCTCCACCCCAGCACCAAACAGGGACAAGGGCCTTCAACACAAACCACTCTGGGGGTCTTCTGGCTCTAAGCTCGACCTTTGAGGCTCTTTCTGACCCAACCAACCCGCAGTGGACTTTTAGGGCTTCTTCCAACCCCACCATCCCATGGTTGACCTCTAAGACTCCATCCAACCCAATCAACCCATGGTGGACCTTTAAGGTTCCTTCCACCCCAACCATCCCATGGTTGACCTTTAAGGCTCCTTCCAACCCAACCAACCCATGGTGGACCTTTAAGGTTCCTTCCAACCCAACCATCCCATGGTTGACCTCCATGGCTCTTTCCACCCCAACCAACCCATGGTTGACCTCTAGGGCTCCTTCCAATCCAATCAACCCACGGTGGACCTTTAAGGTTCCTTCCACCCCAACCAACTCATGGTTGACCTCTAGGGCTCTTTCCACCCCAACCATCCCATGGTTGACCTCTAGGGCTCCTTCCACCCCAACCATCCCATGGTTGACCTTTAAGCCTCCTTCTGACCCAACCATCCCATGGTGGAGCTTTAAGGCTCCTTCCAACCCCACCATCCCATGGTTGACCTGCACGGCTCCTTCCACCCCAACCAACCCATGGTTGACCTTTAGGGCTCCTTCCGACCCAACCATCCCATGTTTGACCTGCACAGCTCCTTCCAACCCAACCAACCCATGGTGGACCTTTAAGGCTCCTTCCAACCCCACCATTCAATAGTTGATATGCACGGCTCCTTCCAACCCAACCAACCCACGGGGGAGCTTTAAGTCCTAGCCCTAACCCTAACCTTTCCAACCCAACCACCCCGTGGTTCTGTGGATGATCATTAAGATCACAGAATCACCAGTTTGAGTTGGAAGAGACCCCTCCAGGCCATCTGGTCCCATTCCCTACAACGAACACAGACAAGGTCTCTTCAACCCAATCCCCTACAGTTTTATGGCTCTAAGGATGGCCTTTAAGTCTCCTTCCACATCCCAACCCCCACAGGGCCATCAGAGACCCCTGCAGGCTCACCAGGCCGCCCCGCAGGGCCGCCCTACCCTCATGCAGACCCTTCCTCCCATCCTGTTGTCACTGCAGACTTCCAGAAGCTGCGCTCAACCCCCTCGTGCAGACGACCCGCAGACACAGCCCCATGCCGAGCAGTAAAGCCCACCCCCCCAGCTCCCCCTGGGCTCCCCACCTTGAATTCCCCCACAGCTTTACGCAGAGCCCGGTCGAGCTCCTCCGAGGAAACACGAACGTAGGCGAAATCGATGAAGTCGCAATCCACGTCCTGAGTGCCAACAGTGCCGATGGAGTAGGTGCCCTCCTTCTTGTAGTGGAACTTCCCCGTGCTGCGGTGCAGCAGGACTGTGTGCAGCACGGCCAGCATGGCCTCCTCCACCTGCCTGCCCTCCACCGACACCTCCAGCACTTCGGCACGGCAGTTCATGGCGGCAGCGCGGCTGCGGGGGCCGCGGGAGGTGCTGCTGTGGGGATGATGGAGGGCGTTTGGGGGGGGGTCCTCACCCCCCAGCAGCCCCCGATCCAACACCCACAGCTGTCGGCTTCTGCCACCTCACACCCATAGGGCACCCACAAGCCCAAGGGCTGCTTTGCCCCCAGGACCCCCCCCGTGGGCCCAGCCCCTCCTGCTCCCAGCCCTTCGTGCCCACAGGCCCCTCACACCCCCAGCCCCCTTTGCCCCCAGCCCCCTTTGCCCCCAGCCCCTTTTGCCCCCAGCAGCCCCACTCACAGATCCAGCCCCTCTCATCCCCAATCCCTCGTATCCACAGGCCCCTCACACCCCCCAGGCCCTGATCCTTTCACCCTCAGCCCCCTTTGCCCCCTCCCAATGGGCTCAACCCCTCTCTTCCCAGCCCCCCATGCCTACAGGCCCTGGCCCCAAACTTGTAAGGCCCCTCACACCCAGTCCCCTTTGTCCCCCACCACTCATGCACCCAAGCTCCATTCCCTTTGCCCGTTTCACTCCTGGCTCCCCACCCACCCCCATCCCTTCTCCTCCCCAGCCCCTCATGCCCATAGACCCCTCACACCCCCAGACCCCGTCCCCTTTACCCCCAGCCCCCCTCACCCATAGA